TGTAACGGAATACAGTTACTCATATTTTGTATTTTAAATACGTAACGGCGGTACATGTATTTCGTTACTCCCCAACACTGGCAACGCCATACCGCCACGACCAATATTTAGCCACCATCTTCGATCCTCACTCGGAGACCTCGGTAGCTTTAAGATCTACCACTCATAAGTTTACATGTAACCAAAGTATTTTTTTTTTTAAAAAAAAAAACAACAACAACAACAGCAAAAAATTACTGACTCCTGAATATCATTTGTATTAAGCCTTTTGGTTCTTAGTCAAAACAAAAGGCTAAGGTGTTAAAGGGTTAACCTGGTGGGGCTGAGAATGTTGGCTGCACTCAGACTCTGCTCAGTATACAGCTAATCTGCTCTTCACTTAGATGGAGGCAGTGCTACCTACTCTATGACACTGGGTGAAAGCAGCCTGTCATTACTTCACAGACACTGACTTAATAGTCCGAATGATCAATCCAGGGTACGCAAACTGTGCAGTCACACTTGCTTATTTTATTTTATTTTTTTGTAACTTATATATGTAACACTGATGTTCGGTAGATATTAACCCTGTGTGGCTATAACTGCAGCCATCACAAGTAGATTCAGTTATTCTAAAATTAACACTAAAAATGTTTTAACTTTAATTGTTTAACTTTAGAACATCCGTGAGGTACACGTGAGGGGGAATCTTTGGTTGCCAGTCTTGAGAGCACATATCCACACATGAAAAATGGAGGGTCCAAATACTTATTTTACACTTAACGGAGCACTATGGAGAAAAGTGAGTATTTCTTGTAAATAAACTAAATCTATCAGGCCATAGTGTTGGAGCTCACTGCTGCAGGATTATAAACAACTTGACATTAACCAAACAACTGCAGATAATCTTTTAAATCTTAATTTACTGACCCTTTTCTTTTGTTTAAAAATTACAGGACACATGGTTAGTCCTTGCAGAACACATAGGCCAGCAACTGGATTTCTGAAGTGGTGTCTACGCAATGTCAGGGAAAGGCTTTGTTCTATCGGGAAGAAGAATTTGGCACCAAAGTAACCCAGCTTGCCTGGTACCAGAAAATAGATTTGTTTCTGCTTTTTGCAGCAATCTAAGGTCTGTTGATGGCTGCTTGAAATCATTTTTTGTTTTTGATACAAGTTACCCAAAGTGATGCACCCAGGTTTGGAAATTCCTTCACGCTGTCATCTGTCCCAGGAGTAGATGAATCCCAGGACATGAATCAAATATGATCAAATTAATGAGGGCTCTTTTAGCTATGATGGAAGTATAGAATGTTGCTCATATGGTGCATGACCAGAGCTGGATTCTTAAAATATTCACATGAAATCACACTGGATCCAAACACAGCAAACACACATCTGTTATTATCTGAGGGGAACAGAAAAGTAACATTTATGGAAACCCAACAGTCTTATTCTGATCATCCAGACAGATTCACTGAGTGGTTTCAGGTCCTGAGTAGAGAGAGTCTGACTGGATGTTGTTACTGGGAGGTGGAGTGGAGAGGGGGAGCAGCTGAAGTAGCAGTTGCATACAAGAATATCAGCAGAGCAGGGAGCTCACGCGAAAGAAAATTTGGATTCAATGACATATCCTGGGCATTACGCTGTGATGCAGACAGTTCCACCTTTTTTTTACAACAAAGTCCAAACTGTCCTCTCAGGTCCTCGGTCCTCCAGAGTAGGAGTGTACCTGGATCACAGAGCAGGTATTCTGTCTTTCTACAGCGTCTCTGAAACCATGACTCTCCTCCACAGAGTCCAGACCACATTCACTCAGCCGCTCTATGCTGGACTTTGGGTTTTGGATTATGGCGACACTGCAAAGTTGATTAGTTTAAATTAAAATTCTCTTCACATTGTAGGTATTTTAAATGTCTGATTAATCTGCTCACTGGCTTCCACTCGCTGTAGTGGATTTTCCTGATGATTAAAATGTTATTTGTGACATTTCTGAACTATGATGCTACAATGATTTTTCTTTTCATATTACAAAAAGTTAATATCTTTGGTGTTTGTATTGTAACTCTTAAAATGTTAATAAGATATTGGAGTCCTTCAATCCTGAGATTATAATAGATATGACCTTGTTTCTTGATTGAATGCAGTAATTGATTTTGATTATAGAGTGTTGTTAATTTTTGTTGTTGTTATTTTTACAGAAAAATAATAATAACTGCATTGTCTAATCCAACATGTTGTGGAAGACAATGTTTGTTGTGAACACTATTTTTCAGGGAAAGCATCTGCAGCTATAAATGACTCATCTGATGTACTATTAAACTGTATAAAATAAAACAAAAGCTAAAACATGCTAAACTAAATTACTAAAATATGTTGAAGTTTAAAATTGGATTAAAAATAGGTTTATTTAATTCTAAATGATACATATCTTGCTTTGGCTCTCGGAGGAGGCGGACACATCTTTCAAACTAATGAAGACATATTTGTGTTTTTTTTTTATTTGCTCCCTGTTAAATCCAGACTTTGATTTAAAATCCTTCTCCTGACATACAAAATATTGTCCCGATGTCAGGATCTGAGCTGGCAGACCATGTGGAGTGTAGAGTGGACACAAATGCAGACACCAGAGACTGAAACTAAATTAAAATTGATCCTTTATTGATGGCTGAACCATGCAAAGGAAAAAGCGAAAGCAAAACAAAGTCTAACCAAACAAAACCTAAACTGGAAAAACAACTAAAACCTGAATATGTCTGTGA